GATAGATAGATAGATAGATAGATAGATAGATAGATAGATAGATAGATGGATGGATGGATGGATGGATGGATGGATGGATGGATGGATGGATGGATGGATGATGGATGGATGGATACAATAGATAGATGATAGATGGATGGATGGATGGATGGATACAATAGATAGATGATAGATGATAGATAGATAGATAGATAGCTGGATGATAGATAGATAGATAGATAGATGATAGATAGATAGATAGATAGATAGATAGATAGATAGATAGATGATAGATAGATGATAGATAGATAGATAGATAGATAGATAGATAGATAGATAGATAGATAGATGATAGATAGATAGATAGATGATTTGGTCCCATATTCAAGAAAGAGATAACAAACACTAAAGAGAAATTTTCCATTTCTGAGCAAACGGCTATCAGGTGCTTCAGCCTACCTGCTTTCCAGGCAGGTCAAATCAGTTCCTGTTACTTCAGAAACTAAATTCCAGTCAGCGACCCCCAACCTTGAATGAATGGTCAGGAGTTGGAAGCACTGTTGGATGCTGAGTGATCTTCTAAGTTAATATTAAGGACGGCAAAGAAAACATGACGTGAACCAAGGCTCCATCTCTAAGCCTCTAGCTTCATGATTGACATCTTGGAAAGTGGTACTCTCTTGGAACTTAAGAGCACTTCGTGTGAGGACAACCTGTTCTGCATGACACCAGTTATCTTTTACATCCCCTGCTTCTCACTCAGTGTTGGAAATGGAGGTAGGCCCCCACTAAATTTGTGCAACTGGCATCATTGACCAAGTTGTAATGCTTTACTAGAGGGGCAATGCTAGAGGTTGCAAAGCTTCCTTTACAGCAAACCAACCTGGATGGTTCACAGTGGCGCCAATGCTTTATGTTCCATGTAAACGTATAGAATGGGAAGAAGGATCTTTCGATTTTTTCAGGGCTATCGGAGTGACTCTTAGGTCTTTCTTCACAGCATTTCAAGGTTGACCACAATTTGGATGTACATCAGGGAGGGATTGATAATTTAAGACTGCACAAAGAGTACACAATTAATCTCTTGGCCAACTTTACAACTTACTTGGGTTTTTTTTGGCGGGGTCATCCTACCCCAATGCTTCTCAAAAACATGTTGATGATGAAATCCTTGGAAGTCTTCACAGAAGCATGCCAAAACTCAACCACAACCATTTCCCACAATCTGCAACATGCTCTTTATGTTTTGCACCTCTACATCGTGCTCTCTGCTTACTCGGACGGACGAGGTTTCAACAATTGAAAATGTTTCCGTAATTTTGGATGCTCAAAGGCTGAAAGATCAAATAAAATCCCAACAGGGAACTGATCCAAGAAATCATTTTAATCTAACAAGACCTGCTGCATTGCTCTGCAAACATTAAATGCCAGGGGTGATAAAGTCAACCAGCTTTTGGCTAGAAAGGTAGCAGCTGTTTAAACATGGATTCTTAAGAGTTAGACGAAGCTCTAAAATGAATGAGACCCCCTTCATTTGATAGAAAGAGCACATGATAAGAAATGATGTTCCCTTGGGGTGGAATGGTTACCATTTGCGCCAAAACAAAAATAAGCAAAAAACAACAACCTTATTTTTTTTAAAGATACTGCTTAACTCCTTTCCTTTATGCATCTGGAATGGAACAGAACGGAGATCATTGCTAAGAAACATGGACTTCCTTACAAGCACCTGCAGTGGGATATGAGCTACGCAAAACTTTGGAGATTGGACTGAAACTTGGTCGAACTTCCAAATCAAACTATATTTCTGAACCGAATCAGAAAGTTGAGCACATTTCTCTTCTCTGTAATGTATGAACAGATATTAACAATGGGAACAAAACATGAAAGTTGGGCAATTGACTTTTTCCTGAATTAGCATGAGAGTGAAGATACAGTGCTAACAAATTGCAGAGATCCAAGATATTTGCAAACAAACAAAAAAGGCAGCTTGGCTGCGAGTG